CAACAGCCGCCTCGACAATCGCAGAGTGGAACAAGGCCCACTCGGACTCAATGTCCCCCACTGCTCTCGGGACGTGGTCAAAGCTCTGCCGGAGGTGGGAGTTGAAGACCGTCTTGACAGGTTCTTCTGCCAGGCGTTCCCAGCAGACCCTCACTATGCGTTTGGGTCTGCCAGGTCTACGCGGCATGTTCCCTTGCCATCTGATCCAACTCACCACCAGGTGGTGATCAGTTGACAGCTCCGCCCCTCTCTTCACTCGGGTGTCCAAAACATACGGCCGCAGGTCAGATGATACGACTACAAAATCTATCATCGACCTGTGACCTAGGCTGCCCTGGTACCAAGTGTACCGATGGGCATCCTTATGTTCGAACATGGTGTTCGTTATGGCCAAACTGCGGCTTGCACAGAAGTCCAATAACAAAACACCGCTCGAGTTCAGATTAGGTGGGCCGTTCCTCCCAATCACACCCCTCCAGGTCAAGCTGTCATTGCCCACGTGAGCATTGAAGTCCCCCAGCAGGACAATGAAGAAGAATGCAGTCTTAAATTCTATTAAGTCTTTATCTACTCTCATTACCAAGTGCAATTATTATCTTAACTTATTATGTACTCTTGTGCGATATCTTGTGTGCTACTGCTGCTATCCTGCTGTACCTGAGCCATTGCAATGTTGCAATTTCTCCACTGAGGGACTAATAAAAGTATTCTTATTCTTATTCTTCTTATTCTTTAAACTTTAAGATTTGTAATTTTATAAACAAGCTATTGGTATGTTCATGGTGTCCAACATGGCTAACCAACTGTATGGCTCGTTTCTGTAACGTACAAAGTGCAGATAAGGTGGTTTTATAGGGTTTCCCCACACTTTAACACAGTAAGTAGGTATGGTACTATCAGTGTACAGTACAGTATGCCTTTTGATTCACAAAATGTCTTGTTTTCCCAACACCCCAATACTTCATGATACCTTTCCTTTAAAATATTTTATGTGAGGTTTCCAGCAGTTTGTGATCAAGGATTACACCCAGAAATTAATTTTCATACACTCTTTCAATATAAATTTAGTTTAATTGAAAAAATAAGGCAAATTAACTTCACAGAAACAGCTGCCAGAGCGGACTCTCCTCTGCAGGACATACAAGGACAGCGCACCTGGCCCAGGTGCACCAAATGCCACTAATGAGACCTGCAACAGAAGAGGAACAACTGAACCAAACACACTAAAACAAACAGCAAAGACCCACTCTACAGTGGTGCTGTCCCACCAAAAAACATCACACTGTTGTTATACGGGTTACGTTAGGAATCATGTCAGAAACAAGAAACAGAACCCACGGAGCAAGCATTGCACGCTCCTGTATTCTGGAGGTGCATCAGCCATCTAAGTTCACCCTAACCCAGAGACAGCACACCATTGCTCGTTCTCTTTCAGGTTGAACTCAACTATTTCGTTTTAGATTAAACAGAGTAAACGTGAAACTAAGTCAGAGATTCCAAAAATGGTGCTTGTGACTTTTTCATTGGTTGATGGTCTTCTGTAGCCCACCTCCATGTCCCTGTTTTTCTATTTCAGCAGCGAAAATGTTGCAAAAATCAAGTTCCAGACTCTCTCAGCACCAGCGTCATAGCTGCAGGTTTATTTAAACTGAGGTTCACTAAGAAATGTGCAATACTTTTATTTATTTATTTTTTAGGACCAATCACCCTGAGTTTCTGATGCATGCTGAAAGTAAAAATAGTCTCACCCTGATTTCCTGAATTAGCCACCATAAGAGCTTAGACAGGTAAACACTTCAGACTTAAAAAGCCACACAGATCTACGTCACACAGTACTCTGAGGTAGCTTAGGAGGTAGAGCAAGTTGTCCAGTAAGCAGAAGGTTGCAGGTTCGATTCCAGCTCCCGAAAGAGAATACTGCTGTAGTGTCTTTGGGTAAGACACTAAATCCCCCTTGCCTGCTGGCGGCGGTGGTCGGACGGACCGGTGGCGCCTGTGCTCAGCAGCCTCTCCTCTGTCAACACACCCCAGGGCGGCTTTAGCTACAATGTAGCTCATCACCACCAGTGTGTGAGTGTGTGTGTGAATGGCTGAATGATACACAGTAGTGTAAAGAGCTTTGGATTCCTCTGACTCAGAAAGGTGCCATACATGTGCAGGGGCCTCATTTATCAAGCTTGTTTACCCACAAAATGGGGTCGGAAAACTGCGTGAGCAACTCTCCACGCAAACTTTGGGATTTATGAAAGAAAACTTAGCGGAAACATGTGCGCAACTTTAAGTTGACTAAGGACCTGGCTTACACACATTTTGGACATGGAGAGCACCTGCAGTGCTGCTGCTGAGAAGGATAAAATTATGAAATCCAGCAGCATTATCACTTGTACTGCTTCGTTTTCACACAGAACAAGACCCCCCACACGCACGCATTCACACACATGCGCACGCACACACACACACACACACACACAGCCTGATGCGCAGAATACGGACGATCAGCAGGGGGCAGATTGAGACAGAATGCCATGTGTCTGTGACAGTGTGTGTCCTGTCACTGTGACCCGATTGATCATGCGCCCTGGCTACTTGGACAATGGAGATCTCTGTTTGGGTGACTGGTAGCGCGTGTGACTTTCACCTGGGAGACTGGGGATCGAATCCCGATTGGACCATTTTTTTTTATAACCGCCACAGATCTCTCTGAAGAATTCACAGCATTGACGGCTTCAGCAACACTGTACCACTCCGTGGATTTTCTTTTATTTGTTTTGCAAAAGTACTTCCTTACATTTCTCCACCTCACCCACAAGTACCTCAACTTCTGCTTGTGAAATAGCGCTTCCTTGATCTGCAGTCAGGATCGAAATGCTGCAACAGCCGGCTTATGTATATGCATGAGGTCCACAAGGCACTTTGCATCGACTATTTATGGAAGTAAGTGGGCGTGGTGAGGGCGGGATGTGACTAAAATGCAGCTGAGAAACATTCTCGTTAGTCTCTGATTTGTGAAGCAGAGATTGCGTGCAGCTGTGCGTACTCCATGTTTGATAGATCACAAACCTACTTGGCGTAAGTACTTTTTTTTTTGCTGAGCTTAAGTACGGTTTTAGTAAGGATTCTACGCAATGTTTGATAAAGGAGACCTCTGGTCATTTAACGTTTATCATCATGGGTTAGGAATTTTCCCTGTAATCGGTGGGTTGCAGGTTCAAACCCGGACTCCCACAGTCACGTCCGTCATGTCTTTGGCCAAGACACTTCACCCTCCTCACATGCTGGTGGTGGTTGGAGGAACCGCCTCTGTCTACCTATGTTGTAGCTCATCACCACCAGTGCATGAATGGGTGAATGATTTAGTGTGAAGCACTTTGGAGTCCTCTGACTCAAAAAGGTGCCATACAAGTGTGGGTCATTTACCATTATCAGTGTTAGCATTCATACACTCAAATCTTGGCTCACGACCACAGCGAGGTTGTGCGGATTCGGCCAGAGGGCAGAGCGTGTCTCCGCTGGTAGAAGCTAACCATTAGCATTAGCACCTCCTCACCCCACAGAACTCCTTCAGCTTTGTGTTGTTTGTGGAGATAAAACATCAGCGCTGCAAAGTGAATGGAGGCAGCAGAAGAGTCACATTGCTGTTAGCCAGTCAGAGGAGAGATGTTCGCATGTTATGAAAATACTGAGGCAGACTCCAAATCCTAAAACAATATAATTTTCTTTTTGATTTTAGGTCAATAAAAATCTGTGAGACTTGGCACAGTTTTTCTTTGGATGATTCAGTCATATGGTATCGCATTTATTTTTTCTAATCTGGTCAGCTTTAAGAATTTGGTGAGTAAGAAAATCTTAATTTTCTGATCTTTGTCGCAATTTTTCTTTGTTTCTGAGTACATCATTGTTAAATGAATGAATGAATGAATGCATGAATGCATGAATGAATGAATGAATGAATGAATGAATGCATGAATGAATGAATGAATGAATGAATGAATGAATGAATGAATGAATGAACCACAAAAGATAGAGAAAATCCTTATCAATACTGAATTTTTCTGAAGGCCAAGTATTAGAGATTGATTTGGTTGCAATGTATTTTTTAAAATGCAAATATTTTCATAAGCTTTCAACAACTTCATTAATCTAATTAGAAATTACAAATAACATTCTATTAAAAAAGGAAAAGGTGTTGCCAACTCCTTAGAGATAATCCTCTTCTAGGTTGAGATCAAATCACCATTTCTGTCTCATTTTTGTTTAAGCAAACACTACAAATGTTATCCTAAGCTTGACTATTTCATCAAATTTTGTTTCAAACTGATCAAACAATTAACCCTCCCACTGTCCTAATGGGTGTGACCCCGCGAGGAAAGTTGACCGTTGAGCAGGGTTGATGGTTTATCCCTTGGGTCCATGGGGCAGGGGTGAGGAGTGAGCACCACCTCACCCCTGCCACGTGGACCTCAAGGGATAAACCATCAACCCTGCTCAACGGTCAACTTTCCTCGCGGGGTCACACCCATTAGGACAGTGGGAGGGTTAACAGAAAACATGTATTAATAATAATTATAATTATAATCATAATAACAATTAAGAGGAGCCAGTTGAGGTGGCTCAGGCATCTGGTAAGGATGCCTCCTGGATGCCTCCCTGGTGAGCTTTTCCGGGCACGTCCAACCGGGAGGAAGCCTAAAGGGAGATCCAGGGCACGTTGGAGGGACTATGTCTCTCAGCTGGTCAGGGAACGTCTTGGGATTTCCCTGGAAGAGCTGGCCCAAGTTGCTGGGGAGAGGGAAAGCTGGGCCTCTCAACTTAAGTTGCTGCTCCCGCGACCCGACTCCAGTGAACATCATCTTCATCAGTTATGAACCAGTTTCAGCATTTTAGGCAGTCTGGGGAAAAAACATTTGACTAAATTATGGACACTTTGATTTCTGTATTTATTTCTTTTTAACCCAGTAAGATGAGTTCATCAACGTCAGAGGGCCTCCTGGGAGAATGAAGATGACATAACGTAGGTGATGGAGGAACGAGAGGGAGGAGAGAGGGAGATGGAGCGCAGCCAATCATCAGCCAGCAGAGTAACTCAAGAGCAGACTCGGAGGAGGTTTCATTGAGACACTTTCTCTCTACAAGCCGCGATCAGAGGATGAAGGCAAAGCCGGATATGAAGCAGCAGGCAGGTGGTTGGCTCCATTTGAGCTATTAATTCTGCTCATTAGTTCTGGAGCTTCCATTGATGCGCAGGCGGCTGGTCCAGCGCGTCATCAGCGGGGTCTGGGCAGATTAGAGCTCGGAAAACACGCTGCCCCCCAAAACATGACAGCGACACTGAAGGTTGTGGACTAAGGCAGCGATCCATGGGCCGCAGGACCCAAGTAACCACCCACATCTCACGGCGATCTCCTTCATGTTCTCTAACGGAGGTGTGCGGAGGAGAGAGCGATTCTGGCCCGCAGCCGATGCCGGTGAGCAGGGAGCAGTGGTCGGCAGGAAGGTGGTACCCAAGTGTCGCTGTTTACTACCCGGGATCAGGCTGAGGGATGGGCTGCGCTCCCAGCATCCACGTCTCTCAGAGCGGGGTGATCTACTGCCGAGACTCGGACGAATCCAACTCCCCGCACCAGACCACCACCATCTCCCAGGGCAACGCGGCCACTCTGCACGGGCTCTTCATCAAGACCGATGCGGCCGAGACCATCCCGTCCGTCATCACCTACCAGAGCCGGCAGGCGCGCAACAGTACGCACCGGGACTGCAAGGAGAACAGCGGGGGACAGGTCCGCATCGAGGCCGAGACGCAGACCAGCCACACCAGCTTCAAGGTAGGGGCGGGGGCGTGAGTGACAGCCACATGTGGAGGCCTTTGTTTTGTTTTCATCTTCGGATAAGGTCCGACATCTGGTGGAGTTGTGAGTCTGTCTCCATCAGCCAGAAGGAGGTGGTCCACCAGAGATGGTCTGAAGCATCAGCCTTGTTTCAGGGAACACCACCTGTTCCAAATGATGCAGGTCATGTTATCAGAACTTCATGCTGCAGCTTCAACGTGAAGCTGCCACCTGCAGCGTTTTAGCAGTAATCATTCAGTTTCTTCATCCTTTCAATGATAGAGCTGGAGCAAAACTACTCTCAGAAGATCTCAACATGAAGGCCAGCAGTCAAATAAGCAAACGGTCAGCCTCCTGGGATACTCCTGAAACAAGTCAGAAACATTCATCTACAAACTATCATTCTTGGACCATAGATTTACAAAAAATGTTTCTATCTCTGATAACACCATTTAGACGTTCTCAGATTTCCCTCAGCACCAAAATCAACATTAAAGTATCAAACAAGTGATTTAACAAACACACACTGTCACGGACTCAAAACGAATCATTATGCAATTATGAGCTGATTTCAGTGATCTTAGGGATGCACTTCAAATGATTAATCATGAGTTCAGTTATGCTAAGGTGAGGATGTTCTGCTTTCTCCTGGTTGCAATACACAACTTTCAAAAGCCAATGTGGGCGGGGCCATGAATAATAACTTTACCTGTGATGTTGAAGAGACTGTTGTTTTCCGACATGATCATTGTCCATCTATTTCTTTTCTGCGGCTAATGCAGGAAGTAGGGTTTTTGTAAAAGTCTGACAATCAGAATGCAACTCAGAGAGACTGATCGTAAAAAATTGAGTATTAGAGCCACATTTTGCAACTCTTTCATATTTTTCAATAATTTTCTTGAGCCAGCACGTGGTCAAATGACCCTTTAGGGTTAGTGAAATGTCACTCAGACCCCCACCGCCCCCTGTGGCCAGAATCCCACAACTTCAGAGGGGCGGGCTGACGGCTGTTGGACTTAACACCTGGCACTTCCAGCACATTTCCTGTATGTTTTGGATCGTGAACACAGCTGATTTCTTTGATTCAGCGATCGCTCCTGGAGACACTAATGAAAGCTCAGGAGACATGTTAGCTGTTGGGAGGAATAAAAATCACTTTTGGTTCTACTAAACGGACACTAGGGGGTGCTAAAAGCAAGCCAAAACTGCCAAGTATGCCTTTAAATGGCTTCTCAGTGAACAAAACGTTTCAGATAGATATATAAAGTTCCCTAAAAGACCCTAAGCTCAGAACCAAAGAGCACCAACATTGTGTGATTGGTTAAATTCATATTTGAAGTTTGTGCCCTGAAAACACCAAACATCAAACTGAGAATAGCACAGCTTTGTCATCACATCCTGTGATAAAAATATAGTCTGTGTTTCCTTTGTGGAGATCCCTCTCATGAGGAAGCATGTGAATGAGACGCGTTCTGATATGTAAGATCTAACCCCAGAGAATTTTGTGTTTTGTAAGGAAGTGGTGCAGCAGATGATCCACTGTCAGAGCACGTTAACCCGTTCACACACTGATTGAATTAAGGCACTTTGACAATAAAAGTGTTTGGTTTATATTGTAAGACGCAACCAAATGTGATAAAATGGCAGTTTTAATTCCTCTGCAAAGCATAAAACTGTAAATGAATGGCTGAATTTATCAAAATAAAATACTTGTATGTGGATTTAAAAGCAGGAAATCAGAAACCTACAGTCTTACGTAACAGCTAGGGGTACTCATGTGCAACATGTGCAGTTTTATGGGGAAATAGTGTATAATTATTCTGGGATAAAAGCATAACACCAGGCAGCATAACGATGTACAGCCTCCTTGTTAATAACCAGATCTTAGAGGTTTATGCTGCTCCACCCAGGAAGACTGCTATTGAGAGGAGCTGGTGAGGTTCACAAACTCACGTCTTACAGTATTGTATTTGCTCAATACCTTTACTGTTGTTTTGAAACTCGAGTGCATCGGGACAATAGCGTACAACTGCTGCAACAGAGGCTGTTGTCTCCCAAACACCAAAGGGGCAAATACTGACTAGCTCATCCAGAAATCAGTGTCGTATTTCTCGCAGAACAACATCTACTGTGCTCTGTGACTACAACTAGATACAGATTTAAGTTACTGGCCCCCTGCATGCAGGTGAAACTCGGAAAGTTAGAAAATGGTGCAAACGTCAGTTTGTTTCAGTAATTTAACTCAGACTGAGAGGCCATCTAAAGGCTCAGGAACCCTTTGAAGGTCTTTTGGATTCATTAGCTGATTAGAGTTAATTAGCATTGAATGATAAACCTATCAACAATATTCAAATTGTCTGAGATTTAGAATTTGGAGTTTTCACAAGCACTAAATCATAATCATCACAATTATAACAAATAAAGGCTGAAATATCTGGCTTTGTGACTGTATCATAGATAAGGTTAACCTTTTGGGTTGAATTAGAGACATAAACGAACTTTTGCAACATATTCTAATTCTGAGGTTCACCTGTACTTAGAGCACTCTGGAAAAGTACACCACCCCCCACTCTCATCTGCTGTGGCATCAGTTTTGAACTCAGTGTCTTTAAATGGAAACAATATTTCAATCAATCAATCAAAGCTTTATTTATAAAGCACCTTCCGCAACCCTGTCAGGAAGCCCAAAGCGCTGAACATGGTTCAGTTGAAGGTAAATATATTGAATAAATCAAAAATAAAAGCAATTCAAATTACAAAATACAAATTACAAAATAGGTGAAACATTCTGGTACAGGACAAATGTGTAAAACAATGGATTTAGTGAACCAATGAAAACTGTGAAATAAATTCAACATAAAAGAGGGCCAAAATCAAACATGTTCTGGAAACGCCAAGCGGAGGAGGTGTGTTTTTATTTATGTTTTAGAGGTCAGTTGGCTGCAAAGGGGCTGTTTTTAAAAGTCATTCAGTTTTCAAAGAATGTGTAATGAACAGGGTGTCAAAAGTATTCATATTCATCACTCAGGTAGAAGCAGTAGGGTTTAAAATGACTTCTGTAGAAGTTGAAGTATCAGTTCAAGCTTTTTACTCGAGTAAAGTTTAAAAAAGTATTGGTTTCAAAAGTAAAAGTAATGTAAAGAAAAATGTTATTAAGGCCAAAAGTTTCACTGGCATCTTAGGTGTGTTCTTGCTGTGTCTTGGTTCTAATTCCATGCTGTCGTTCTTCTTTAAAACACAGAAATGGTTCCGTTACCTGTTTTTTCGCTACGTTTCGTCTGCGGCTGCAGACTTCCTCAAGCTGACGCTGATGGTGGCGCATCACTTCCTTCTTCGTTTATCTGCGGGCAGCAGAGGACGTTGTCGCCCTCTGCTGCCCGCTCTCCCCTCTCCGACGATGCAGTCCCATGCGCGGTCCAATGTGTAAACTCCATCGTCCCTGTTCATGGTCGCACATCCACGTCTCCCTATCTCGATTGCTTAACATAGAAAAGAGTGTGAGAAAGAAACAAGTCGAAAACACACAAGAGCAGCAAAAGAAGAAGCAGAAAGTACAATAAAGAAGTCAGCCGTAACAGATCACTGCACAAGAGAAAACCGTGTAATGGACTGGGACAACACTAGGATCATAAACACCGAACAACAACAATACAAAAGATGGATAAAAGAAGCTATAGAGATAAGGAGACGTGGATGCGGGACCATGAACAGGGACGATGGAGTTTACATATTGGACCACGCATGGGACTGCATCGTCGGAGAGGGGAGAGCGGGCAGCAGAGGGCGACAAAGTCCTCTGCTGCCCGCGGATAAACGGAGAAGGAAGTGACGCGCCACCATCAGCGTCAGCCTGAGGAAGTCTGCAGCCGCAGACGAAACGTAGCGAAAAAACAGGTAACGGAACAGTTTCTGTGTTTTAAAAAAGAACGACAGCATGGAATTAGTTTCACTGGCACTACCTCCCCACAAAAATTCCAGAATGACTAAAATGTTTCATATTGTTGCTATGAGGTCGAACTTTAAATGTGTTTTATCAGTAATTTTTATTGAAATATAAACATACATCCAGCAGCTGCAGGAATAAGGTGACTGGACGAGTTAATCAGCAGCTTAGTAACAATTACCCTTGTATGTTTTTGTTTACACTGTGATCAAGGCAATTCTAGTCTTTGGGCCAAGATGGTCTTTGCCGAGGAGGATGGTGCTGCCGATGCTTTCTGCCACCTGGTTGTGGCACAAACGGTAGCGACCTTCAAGAGCCAAACCAATAAGTGTTGTGAATGTCTCCTTCAGGAGCTTAGCTGGCATGCTGGTGTCTCACTCTTAACCCACTCTTGGTGTGTTGGTTTTTGGGGAGCCCATCACCCTTTTGGGGGAGCTTGGCTCCCCTTCCGTTAGCTCCTCCATAATTGGAACCCTGTCTAACCCTAATCTGTTAAATAAAAATTTGTTAAAAATGATTAGCATAAAGTCATTAGTTTAGAGAAAGATTTTCAAAAGCCTAAAAGTTGTGAATAACTTAAATAGCATTTAACTTGCCTTAACTGTCATTTTCTTAACAAATTTGGTTATAAAGCAGTTTTTGACTCACCAAGGTTTTGAAAATGACCAGTCGCTCTGGGTTTACCATGAAGGCTGAACGTGAAAAGGGTCTTCTACACCTACGTCCTGCATTAGCTTTTGATAGAAAATGGACAGAAAAACGCTCTGTTCGGAAAAGTCGGATAGATCTACATCACACTGTCATGTAACATTCTTGGACTCACCCATCTTGACTCGCAACGGGGAAGGCTGTTGTTGGTTTAGTATCCAGAAGAGATCAAAGCACATCTCGACTAGTAGAAGCTAACCATTAGCATTAGCAATCCCACAGCACAGCAGAACTCTTTCAGGCTTGGGTTATTTGTGGAGTTAAAACATCAAGATTGCAGAGCAGAGTCAGTGGTGGAGTCATGTTGCTGTTAGCCAATCAGAGGTGAGATCTCTGAATATCAAGT